TATAGGTTGCCTCCCAACTCAAACAGAGGCTAAGACTCTGAAACCCTTACCACCCCTTACCATGGAGTGAACCTTCAGATAGAATGGTTTCTATGCCATTTGTATCTAAAGTTGCTACCATTGCAGCCCAAACATGAATGAACAAGTTTTCTTACAATGAGTCTTTGTGAATGAAGGGGATTTCCAACCATAAAAACAATAATGTTGGAGATAAATTTTGAATGAATTTTGGCGAAAATATTATCATCAGCCAATATTTTCCCAAATTTAACACTTTCCTAAATAATTAACTTGAGTTAGATTCATGTATTATTGTTACTTAATGCCAGTTTGGATGGACCACTAAATGGGGTTTGTACTGCTATTTTCCTATGCTTGAGTGGGAACAATACTACAATTCATTGATGCCACAGCTTTCCGTGTCCCTCGTGTGAAAAATATGCCCCATGTGTGGGCTATATGTTAATAGCAAAGAAAAGAACTTGTATTTTTTATTGGATTGTTTGCTACAAGAAAGTTTATCTATAGTACAAAAAGGTCTCTAGCTATTGGATGTGGAATTTGATAAATTGGAGTGTGTCACATAGCTCGAGAAATTGTTTTTAGATTAATGACACTCTTAGCTGCTCAATTTCATATCTAACGACTAAGAGTAATAGCTAACATCTTTGTACTAAAGATAAATGTTTTTATGAAAGTGTCCTAGCCTCTCCTACAGTGAATTGGATGGAACAACTAGGTTTGGTTCTCAACAACCACAGGGGACTCTTTGATATGTGGCTATAAAGACCTATGACTACTAGTCGAAATAGACTCCAACAATTCCAAGTCGGCTCACCGATTTTTCAATTAATTACATGTGGGCGTCTATTAGTAAGTGAGCTGCCATGTCACCCATCTAGGACCTCCTTAAGATTACCAAGAACTAATTTTAATATGGGATTGTAAATCATAAGACCGTTTATCTTTATTACAAATTCAAAATTATTCTTAGTCATTAGCTGTCATATTGGAGGACTTGATAAGTGTAACAAAGTTTAGAAAATTTTTTTCAAACTTTGGATCTAGTCAATGACACTCTTATAACCATCCGAATTGAAACCTAATGAATAAAAATAATTATAATGCCCCTTCTTATGAAAAGTAAATCGCTCCCTCTCTATACTTTTCCTTCCCATATTTCCATCATTCTGTGTGGAATGCCTTTTAAAAGAAGACCAAGAAGTTTATATAAGCTTGCAACCCTTAAACATAGAATTAAGGTGCACAGAAAAATTCCATAAAAGAAGTGTAACAATCCTAAACTTCAAAAAAAAAAAAAAAAAAAAAAAAAAATAAATAAAAAATAATAATAAAATAAATTTTGAATGCATGATGATTCGTTTGAACATGATGGTCCTTAGGGACCATCTCTACTTTTCAAAGCTTTCGCTTAAAAGCTTTGTGGCTTCCTTGCTCTTGCCACATCCATTAAAGGACGTGGGCTTTAAGCGTTTAAAGCGTAAGCTAACGCTCACACCTGTAACGTAATAAATGAATAAAATAATATATTAGTAGAATTTAAATTCAGAGAGGTGAGGACTCCTACCTTAGAAAACTTATGAGATTTTTCTCTCTGGTCGAAACACAGTGAACTCCTCTCTCTAGCCGAATTTTTATCGGAAGCTCCCTCTCAAGTATTTGTGGGTAAGTGACATCGTCTTCTTGAAAAATAGTCTGTTTTTAATAAATAGTGATATTTCCGTCTAGGATCTTTATTTTATAAGTTTGTGTGTAAGTGACATCGTCTTCCTGAAAAATAGTTTATTTTTAATAAATAGTGATATTTCCGTCTAAGATCTTTATTTTATAAGTTTGTGTGTAAGTGACATCGTCTTCCTGAAAAATAGTCTGTTTTTAATAAATAGTGATATTTCCGTCTAGGATCTTTATTTTATAAGTTTGTGTGTAAGTGACATCGTCTTCCTGAAAAATAGTTTTTTTTAATAAATAGTGATATTTCCGTCTAGGATCTTTATTTTATCAGTTTTACGTGTAAGTAACCTCATTGTCCCGAAAAAGAATCCATTATTTTTAAAAATAAAACGAAATAATTATTTCTGCTTATTATCATGAATTTTAGGCGCGATAAATTTTCTGCGCACGTGACCTCATTATCTTGAAAAATAATCTTTCTAATAAAAATTGTAATATTTTATCTATGTTAGAAATTTTGAATGCTGTAAATTAGAAAAATAAATTTATTTATTTTCCTTGTTTATTGTTAGAAATAAATGTGATATTTCTGCTTTTAGTAAAATTGTGATATTTCTTTCTATTGTTCTGAATATTTAGACATTGTAAAATTCATGTGCAAATGACGGCCTTATTATTTAAAAAAATTGACATTTTTGCAATTGATTATAGTATTGTTGTGAAATGCTTATTTGTGGATTGATATCCCATAAATTGTGATAATTCCGTATTCTTGAATTTTTATAAGAATTTTTCTATACATATTAAATTGGCAATTATGCTAGAATGCCTTTACAAACTGTTACCTTTCTAAATTTGAGCCCAAAATATTTGATTGGTTATTTTTGAAATGTTATAGAGAGTGACTGTTATTAATGGTTTAAGTGAAATTCATATTAATGATTTCAGTAATATGTTGAGTACATGATATTGCTGCTTTCGAATGTTTAAAGAGATTTAGAAATAATTTAAGTATGCAAGTAGACTCATCCGGTTCGCCGGTGAGGTATAAGTGGACCTATCTGGGACGCCGGCAGGGATTAAGTGGACCTATCTAGGACGCCGATAGGGATTAAGTGGACCTATTTGAGACGCCGATAGGGATTAAGTGGACCC